AATGTGCGTTGTTTTGGCTGCAGTCAGCAATATTCTAGATTTTCACCATTATCACAGTGGCCTGTAAATAATCTAGTCTGTGCCAGGCAAACCGGTGGTTGATAGCATGAGCAATGATCCCCTTTGTTTCGTTGCGATCATACACTCAAATCACCTGAGTCGGCTCTTACAACAAACATGAAGAGTGAGGACCTATTCTGACCCCAAATCCATCACCCTTATAGATGTACAACCATAATCATTTGTAGCCTTTGATGTCAAAGGATATGGCCCCTTCTTTGAGGTGGGCTCTTTGTACAGCATTCTCTATATCTCCAGGTATCTCTAGTATCTTGGTAAACCTACACTAAACCCTGGATCAATTCCCTTCAGTTTTTGCAATCTCAAATTATCCGCCCTTGATTTCAATTTGCCAATTTAATTGGCTATGCTACTAGGTCTAACAAACCAATCAGAATGCGAGTTACAAACCAGCCTCAATGTTGGGTTGGCGATATCAACAACATCGCGCCCAGTCCATTGATTATGATCGAGTTTGCGAGAAATTCAACATTGAAAAACTGGCTGACTCTCAAAAGAAAGCCCTCAAAAAATCTTTTTTAAGGAAAGGATGTCTTTCTCTCCATTAGTACTGGCAGTGGTTTTGGTTTCTTGGTAATAAGAGTTGCATCCTTTACTCTTTCCCATATGTCGATGTTTGATTGGTCAGTAAAATGTTAAAGAAAATCAAGGGTGGGTATTTTGCGAGAATGGATCCAGGGGATAGTGTAGGTTTACCGAAATGCTTGCCCTGGAGATATAGAGAATGCAAGTAGAGACAATGGACTGTATCTCATCTCCAGCACAAATTTCCATTTTGTCTGTTACCAAATTTGGACTAATGAAGAAATAAATAACATCTATTTGTAAACATAACAAAAAATGGACCTGTCTTACATAACATTAGTTATTATTAATGATACAAAATGTATGAATGTGAAAATGAGCTGTCCCCTAACAAAAGCAATGTAAATCATAGTGAGCTTGCATCTGTATACATTTAAGTCATCGTCTATGTTCCAGTAGTCTGTGTGGGTAAGGGGGCGGTCGGGTAGCCTAGTGGTTAAAGCTTTCCCTCATCACGCCGAAGACCCAGGTTAGATTCCCAACATGGGTACAATGTGTGAAGCCCATCTCTGGTGTCCCCCGCCGTGATATTGCTGGAATATTGCTAAAAGCGGCGTAAAACCATACTCACTCACTCTGTATGGGTAAGTTTTGAATCCCATTTTCCTCTAGTACTCCAAATAAGTCTGGTTGAAATATTTGTTATCTGCTTATAGGCACTTCTTCTCAAGGATATCATGTCAAGCCTACATCTGTCAGCATAGAGCCAGGTCAATTTGGTCAAATACATTAGTTTCGAGATCTTCCAGGAAAACAGGTTTTTAGGTCCCTCTCGTCCATAAAGTCAGTTTAGAATGGAAAGATCAATGTGATTGAGAACGTAACAAACACCTTTTGATTATGATTCTCTTTGTTTCATCTTCAAAGATAATTTTTAAAGATTATTTTTGTAATTAATTTAGATTTTGTTTGCTGATATAAGAAATTGTAGAAACCGAATCAAAGGAAAAGCTTCAGTTGATATGTTTCCCCCCCCCAATAGAATATTTATGGGTTTTTTTTGGTATTTGATGCCTAATCTTTAAAAGTTTTCATTACTGGTTTTAGTTGGGATATGCCTATATGAAACTTTTCATCGTGCACACAATTAAATACAATAAAACGAATTCCTGCTGACAGGCTGCTGTAATGTGAAACAACGGCATTATTGATCTTCATGAAGTATATTATTTTTGTCTACAAAATGCTCCAAACAAAGCCGAGGCCCTCAATCGATGTCTCAGCCTTTGATAGTGTTTACCTTTTCCATTGTGTAACGTTCCCTGGAAGGCGGGCCAATTTACTGTGTCATCCAGGGGACATTCTTCTCCTGATCCCTGCACTCTACCTGGTCAGAAACGAGAGCCCTTAGACCATTTCTTGTGATGGGAGAGGATTTGGTATGTACGTATTGTTGGTAATGTTGTTAGCATAAACCAAGGGCAGCCCTTGCAGTCAAGCAAGGCTTATACTGTGAATTGTGTCCTAATGCTGGGGTATAACGTTTCACTTTTAGCCCTAGAGGATGCTATGCTTAATAGAATAGGTCTCCAGAAATCTGTTTTTAGATGACTGAATGATTGAGGCGGGCGGCCTCAGTGATTTAGTGGATTGTGTGCCATTGTTCCCTGATGGTGTGGATATTTGCTCCTAATATCAGTCACTGGTTTCTCTGGTCCAGACTTGATTACTTGATTGCTGTGTCATACAGCTGGAATATTGCTGTGTAGAGTTAAACAACAAGCAAACAAATTCACGTTCAGTGTCATCATGGCAGCCATAGTAGGTTAGTTTTAGGTGGATGCAGCTAAGCAAGGGTCATTATTCTGACATCATATGCATGAGTAGTGTATGATGTTAAACAAGTGCAGCCACCTCATGACAGTTCCAGAACGTGCTGGGGCGCTGGTGGCCCAGTCTGAGGGCATGCCAGCTAAAATCATGGGTTTGAATCCCGGTTCACCTCGATTGTGTTTTAAGTTTGTCAGCACCATACCTGTGCTCGTGGGTTTCACCGAAGTGGTAAACGTCTGAGACCTGCATCACTTTAGGCTTTCCTCCCACATTAAGCTGACACACCGTGATATGACTGGAATACTGTTAAAAGTGGTGTTAAACCCAACTCACTCACTCACTCACTCACATAGTGGCAGATTAGATTGGGTTTATGGTGACCAAGCAAGGATGATAATACTGATGAATTGTGTCATATGAATAGGGTATGAAATTACACAGAAACAGCTGGCTCCAGACAGATTCAGAAGGTGTCTCAGGTTCATGGTGGCAGATTAGATTTGGTCTGTAGCAGCAAGGATAGTGATACTGATGAATTGTTTCATGTTACTAGGGAGTGGAGTAACGCATGTGGGTCAGCTCATGATAAGATGACCTTGACTCTTGGATGGTTTGGAGTTTAGTAATGTTTCAGCACCGAGTTGTGTTGTGCATTTCAAGTAGATATGCAGAGAAATAGGGTTAACATGCATGCTTGAGTTAGTCTGTCAAATGAGGGGACACGGGTGGCCCAGACGTCTAAGGCCCGATTCACTGTGCAGAGTTGCGTCCCTTGAGCATTCCAGAAACCTATGATTGTGGGTTCGAATCTCAGTTCGCCCCGATTATGTTTCTAGGTTTGTCAGCACCATACCCGTGCTCGTGGGTTTCACCGAAGTGGTAAACGTCTGAGACCTGCATCACTTTATGCTTTCCTCCCACATTATGCCGTGATATAGCTGGTATAGTGTTAAAAGCGGCGTTAAACCCAACTCACTCACTAGTCTGTCAAATGTAAAGGGTATTCTGAAATATTTTAATATTCAAAGTTGAATATGTGCCAGGTAAATTCTCATAGATGTCCTTTGTGAAAACATAAAACTCTGTGGTGCTCTAAAATATTTGGTATGCGTCTGCCAATTACCAAGTGTAAAATAGTGTACTTTCTAGACATTAAAATTTAGGATCTATACATTTTATTGCGCCGTCCGGGGTCATATGTATTCTTAGGATGAGATGAACAATGTACACAACAGGTGATTACTGAGTAATTATCAGGGATGTTCGTAACCAAGACATAACTGCCAGTTTAGCGCTGCAAGGCAGCAATTAGTGGGTGACCATGCTTTTAACCTTTGAGCAAGGTTGAAATATCTGCTTATGTTGACGCAATGCATTTTCAGTACCATAATTGTCAAAATTGAGAAGGAATCGAGTTCATGAATCAGAACACTGGACCTGTGACAGTTTGTGATCTTTTTTCACGTTTTTATGTCAAAACCATGTTGGATAGAAATAGTGGGCTGTGATCACGTGAGTTTCAAACACTCAGGAATTTATTTGAGTGTTATAAACTGGCCATGCGACCAAAGCGTTTAACAAATCTACCATATTGTTTACATACAGACATGGATTAGATGTTGCCTGTCAAGGATTTAATGTGGGAAAATGTGAGATCCCATTTCATGCTGAGAGAATTACATTACTGTCATATTCAGATGTATTCAAGTGGAAAGGTGGGAAAGAGATGTGGTTCTAGTGTTTGGAATTTGATTTCTACCTGAAATCATCCAAAAGCTCTAAAATACCATTAGCAGTATCCAATTGCCCAGTATCCCATCTTACACTGGAGTTGGTTTACAAGTGGGACGATTATTAAACTCTCAAACAGGGAAGAGATTCATTTCTCTCAGCTCTTCCAGGCTCACTGTTCAAGTTGAAGTTTGTATTTGCCCATGGATACATTTAACATGTGGCATTCTACTTCAACGACTAAGGATTATATTGTCACAGTCTAGGGCTAGATAATGAACTGTGGTTATGGGATGGTGTTTGTAGTATTTAACATTGCAGTAAGCAAAATTGTGGTCTAACCTTTTTATTACAGACCCTGGTAAAGTGGCAACCCCATTTTGCAATGATTACTGCTAAGAATGCTAACATGTTAGAAAGTGACATGACTCCCCAAACTTGATTGGTTTATCTAGAAACTTGTTAATCCGGACAATTACTGTGGGAACCTGACCATGCGATAAAACAGGATTTCAGTGTACATTTGTACTACTCAAAAGAAATTAAGGAACACCTGATTTTTCATATGGCTAGGGTTAATCTATCAGGGTGGTTAAGAACACCCAATATAATCATATGACTATAAGTAATACGCATGCCGATGACCATGGTCATATGAAAAATGCAGGTATTCTTTACCTTCTTTTGAATAGTATATATCATGGTGGCCTGAGAATTATGAAGATTTGAGCCACAAAACAAATGGTTGATAGCAATGTCATGTTGATTCCCACCTGATACAACACACGTATTTGACCACATGCTATAGCCTACTTTGGTTTTATTTTCAGATAATGGTTTGATACAGGATGCACCCGCTGTTAACCCTGTGTACTGTGGTACTGGGACTGCTGGCCTTCAACACACGAGGGGTTAATACTGCCAACTCCACCACCTGGACCTTCAATGGATTAGCACACATCACCTTCAAGCCAGACTACCAAGATGACCAGAGCATTCATCTCAAGTTAAGATTTCGGACAAGACAACCGAATGGATTATTGTTTTACCATTACTTGAAGAGTTACGATGCCAAGAAATTCCCGCTGTTGAAGAGCTACGAGTTGTTCGCTGAAATACGTCAAGGCTATGTGCGAGTTGGGAGTAACTTTAATCAGTATTCAGATGTTGTTCCAATTGGATCAGGTGAGTTTTTAAAACCAATTTGTCCTTTGGGATGGAAACTTAGAGTAACTTCTTTCAAAATGTCATTACAATAATGGACATATTATCAATGCAGTACATTTATCCTGTTTCAGGTAATTGAACATATCTTGTGCTCAAGGCTCATATAAAACAGTTTCTTTTGCATTTATGTACATGTTGATATAATGTGACATTAATGCGTTTTGTAAATGGTAGATCCAGTGGTGATTGTAGTTTCTTTGCCCAGTTTCCTGACCTTATTGATTGATTTTGAAATGAAATGACCCAGTGGGTGCGTGTCTGGAAGCCAATTACAGAATTAGGTCTTGTGCAATACATACTAGGATGTAGACCCATCAACAGGCTTTGCTTCTGGTGCAGGCGATGACTTTTAATTCCACGATGATTAAAGAGAATTTGTTAGTATAGCTAAGTGGATAAGGCATTCACTTGCTACTCTGAAGAGACAGATTGAGTTTCTCACATGAATACAATGTGCGAGACCTAGTCTGGGGGCCCATCTTAAGGATTGCTGACATAAAGCCAAAACAGCCTATAACACTACCCCCTCACTCCCAACGATTAGAGGGCACAGGTGGCCCAGTTGTCTAATGTGCCACACTACACTGTAGAGAAAAGCATCCCTTCTGTTCTCAAGAAACTCATGATCTTGGGTTTGAATCCCATGTTTGTCTTGATCTTGTTTGTCTTGTTTCTAGGTTTGTTGACCCGTGAAGATCCGGGTTAGAATAGGTCTTCAGCAACCCATGCTTGCCGTAAAAGGCGACTATGCTTGTTGTAATAGGCGACTAACGGGATCGGGTGGTCAGGCTCGCTGACTTGGGTGATGCATGTCATCCATCCCAACTATGTGGATGGATGCTCATGATATTAATCACTGGATTGTCTGGTCCACACTTGATTATTTACAGACCGCCGTCATATAGCTGGAATATTGCTGAGTGTGGTGTTAAACAACAAACAAACCCACAACCAAAAATCTAGGTTTGTCACCACCATACCTGTGCTCGTTGGTTTCACTAAGATGGAAAGCACCAAGGACCTGCATCATTGTGCAGAGTTGCATTCCTTATGAGCATCAGCAAACTTTGATTATGGGTTTGAATGATATTCAGCCTTAATATGTGTCTGGGTTTGTCAGCACCATACCCGTGCTCTTGGGTTTCACCAAAGTGGTAAACAACTTAGACCTGCATCATTTCAGGCTTTCCTCCAACATCAAAGTGACATGACGTGATATAACTGAAATACTGTTCAAAGCAACATTAAACCCATCTCCACTATTGTGTGGATCAATGATGTCAGTCACTGGACTGTCTGGTCCAGACTTGATTTTTTGCAGATTGCTGTCATATTGCTGAGTGTGGTGTAAAAAACAACACTCACTCACTCACTCACTCTCACTCACTCACTCACTCACTCACTCACTCACTCACTCACTCACTCACTCACTCACTCACTCACTCACTGATATGCTATTCAAAGCAGCTTTAAATCTAATAGCTATCGACATGTACACATGTTGATCCCTGCATGTACCATAATATTTATTATGCACTAAAATCGCTGTATGGAATCGACCCAAGTCCCTTGGTTCATATAAGTATTTCTGTTAGCTCACACCTTGTGAAAATCACCCGCTCATGATGTCTGACAGATCCCTTTGCCTACTGACAGACACATCTAAGTTTCAACACTTAATGAATTTTGTGTCGATTCATCACAGTGGAGCAGATAGCATGATATCCACATATACTACTTCCCTATCAACTACCTCAACGATAGCAATCAAGACCCATCTTCAGAAATGTCTACAAAGCTCAGAATGAGTTAGATATTGGGCATCAAGGCTTTTTAACAGATTCAATGCTTATTTCTATTGTTGTATTAAATAACTGGAAACAAACATTGAAATTCAGCAGGCATCATTAGGAAATCCAATGGTACTCCAGATGTTGGGAGGCAATTGGTTTGCCTATCAGCACAGTTGGTATAGTTGTTAGGGAGCAATTAGTGTGGGCCCACAGGCGTTGTCTGACCAGCAGATCCTCAACAATTAGTGTGCACTGGACCTACATTCTGTGGAGGAATTACTTATTCATAGACTGTTTTCATGTCTCCTGTGAGATTTGCAAGTGTTGATGGTTCACACCTGGCTACATCGCTGGTTAAGCCAGAGGGATTGCCATTTACATGTTTAGGTCGAAAACACCATTTTTCTTGTAACACATCTTTCAAAATTAGAGTCAGATGTAAGCATTATGAATCCAGGTCAAACAGAAGATTAATGTATCCTTGGGTCAATATGATTCGAAGCTGGTAGCTTAATCATCATAATTTGTGACCCTGCCCCCATTACTACAATACTTTGATACACCTGCGTCCATTCTCATCAGAACGTCTTTTGAATTTTAAGTACAAAATCCCCAACAAACTTGCATCTGCAAAATTTCAGCAGTCAGACGTTGTATGATTGCTTTGTGTGGGAAAGCCGTAAGAGTCATAAAAAAATGTAATATGTAAACATACCAAATACTTTATTTTATTATTAGTTGATTTATATCAGTATTTTTTTTAGTCAATATATCGATAGAAGAATTTCAAATCAATAACATCTGTCTAATGATAACAGTGGGTTACTTTTATGACAGCTTGCATTCATGATTTATCATGTCATAAGCAGAGGGGCAGGCAGTGTCTTCAAAGGATTTCACTCCTGTTAAGACATAAGGGCTTGTCTAAACTAATAAGGATGGACTGTTTGCAGAATGTAAAGGGACATCTACAGGAGGATAGGAAGGAGATACACAATCTGAAGGGTCATTTCCTAATTGTGGAAGGTAGAAACTATTGCCTTGAGATTGTTGGGAAATGTGCCCTTCTACACTCGTCTCATAGCCCTAACTATTAATAATGAGGTCTTCTAACACCAAGACCTTGTGAAGCTGACCATACAATGATTAGATCTATGGCACCATTCAGACTTCTGAGTAGCAGCTAATTTCATTCCCCTAGTTTCTCACTGAGACAGGTTCCTTTGGTGAGATTCTCTGGAAGAATTGAACATTTGTCACCTTTGAGAATGAGAACAAGACTTATACTTTTTTCCATGAAAGTGGACGAAGACAGTTATCATATCCTCTGTGAAATGATCCGTGGTACCATTCAGGTCTCTGGGGGAACTTGTAAGGGAGGGAGTGAATGTTGCTGAACACACTTAGGCAGCTATTCTAATGGCGGCGATCAAGTGCAATCATCCTTATGTTTTGTCATTTTGATTACCAGGCTTGAAAATTCATCTTTAATATGTCTGATTTCAGTTTTGGAAATAGGGCTTGCCAAGCCACACAAGACTAGCAACATTCAACACAATTTGATATGTTTAGCAAGAATGAATGTATCCCCACGTATTGTACCAAAACGTTATGTGCAGGCTAGCTTTACAACGCTTCTGAAAATATGAATCTAGCATTTCTAAGAGCGACTAACTTTGAAGGCCAAAGCTACGTAGATAAGTCTGTTAGATGATTTCACCTGTCCATTTCATGTAGTGACAAATCCATTCATCCCCTCTGGTACCAGATGACTTTTAGGGAGTTTTATGGTTGGCAACCATCAACATGATATATAATTGTTGTGGTCAAACAGGTCTGTAAGGATACAAATTGTGGCGATACACTACATATCCAGAATGGTCACAGTTTAATGCTTGTCATGTTAAGGAGCCGTATTCTAGGACAAGTATCGCTATGCCGAGTGTCTCCTTTGGCATGCCAGAAATACATGATCAAAGTTTGTATTTTCCCTGATTATGTTTCTTAATTTGTCAGCACCATCATATAACCCATGCCCATGGGTTTCAAGAAAGTGTAAACATATGAGACCTGCATTACTTCGGGCTTTCCTCCCACATCAAGCTGACACCATGATATAACTGAAATATTAAATTAAGCTAGTGAAAAGATCTCTTACAGACGATGGCGCTAAGGATGGCGATTTCATTTCTTACCCTGAAGCAATCATCTTGTGCACTATGAAGCAACCATTTCATGAGTATTCCATTTTTTGTTAATTATTGTGTTCCTTGGCATTGTGTTCGAGTTCGCCGTCTGAACAGTACCAGGCAATGAAATTATCACACGTCTCATGTCTGAAGTGTTCATTATTCCACGTGTTTGTCATGACGTATTGTGGTTTATTTGATGCCAAAAGATCATAATGTTCCACTTGTTTTGATGTATAATTGATATGGCTGTTGTGTTACAACTGATCATGGTGGAACAGATGGTTTGTGTCATGTTTAATAGTTCTGAAATATGAGCCTGTTCATTTTGTGCCTGTTATTAATTATGGAATATGTATCGAGTTTCCGTTGGAACATTTCAATGTGTAACTTGTTGAAACAAATGCCTTTGCATGGAAGAGTTTGTGTATTATGTTAATTGGGGCTTGGATAATTTATTTATTGCCTACTTTATGAGATCATTAACAATAGGAGAGATGAGCCGCATCTTGTCATGCAGTTTGTATTGATTACAAATCATCTCAAATGGTGGCACAAAACACAATGTGGCACCATCTGTCCCCCTGATTAACAACATGGTTTGGTCCAATGCTTTAATGTGGACAGTCCCATTTGTGAATTGAGGGGTGGAGAGCAGGTTACCTGAGACTTTGGTGTAGTCACAACCACCTTTCACAAAATCTTCAATCTGCTGCTGGACAATCAGTTTTTTTTCACTTGTCCGCAAAACATATTTGGAACAGACATGACACTTGACCATACTCATGTCACTGTGACCTACCATTCTTCTCCTTTAATATCAGTTAGGAAACACTGACTTGTAAGTGGTGTTGACCACTAATTGACCACTTGTCAGCAATGACATGTCCTTCTGGATGTTTCATTGAGTTGATCCTCCTGGCTACCAGAGTCCTTGTTCATGCAGTGGGAGCAGTTACATCATTTCATTCAAGGA